AAGAGAGAGATGTGGAGGATTGGAGTACACATGGGATGTCCAGGTTCACACTTACCGTACTTTAACTACACTGTAACTAGGGAAAGGGAAAGGGGGATACCGAGTCAGTTGTACAACTGAATGTATTCAACTGAAATGTGTCTTCTGCATTTATCCCAACCCCTCTGAATCAGACACTACACTGTAACTACACTGTAACTACACTGTAACTGCACTGTAACTACACTGTAACTACTCTGTAACTACATTGTAACTACTCTAACTACATTGTAACTGCACTGTAACTACTCTGTAGCTACATTGTAACTACACTGTAACTACATTGTAACTACTCTGTAACTACACTGTAACTACTCTGTAACTACTCTGTAACTACACTGTAACTACACTGTAACTACTCTGTAACTACATTGTAACTACATTGCATCTACACTGTAACTACTCTGTAACTACATTGTAACTACATTGCATCTACACTGTAACTACTCTGTAACTACATTGTAACTACACTGTAACTACTCTGTAACTACATTGTAACTACACTGTAACTATTCTGTAACTACATTGTAACTACTCTGTAACTACACTGTAACTACTCTGTAACTACATTGTAACTACACTGTAACTACTATGTAACTACATTGTAACTACACTGTAACTACTCTGTAACTACATTGTAACTACACTGTAACTACCCTGTAACTACATTGTATCTACACTGTAACTACTCTGTAACTACATTGTAACTACATTGCAACTACACTGTAACTACTCTGTAACTACATTGTAACTACACTGTAACTACATTGTAACTACACTGTAACTACACGGTAACTACACTGTAACTACTCTGTAACTACTTTGTAACTACATTGTAACTACCCTGTAACTACATTGTATCTACACTGTAACTACATTGTAACTACACTGTAACTATTCTGTAACTACATTGCAACTAGACTGTAACTACACTGTAACTACACTGTAACTACACGGTAACTACACTGTAACTACTCTGTAACTACTCTGTAACTACTTTGTAACTACATTGTAACTACCCTGTAACTACATTGTATCTACACTGTAACTACTCTGTAACTACATTGTAACTACACTGTAACTATTCTGTAACTACATTGCAACTACACTGTAACTACTCTGTAACTACATTGTAACTACATTGCAACTACACTGTAACTACTCTGTAACTACATTGTAACTACACTGTAACTACTCTGTAACTACATTGTAACTACACTGTAACTACTCTGTAACTACTCTGTAACTACATTGTAACTACACTGTAACTACCCTGTAACTACATTGTATCTACACTGTAACTACTCTGTAACTACATTGTAACTACACTGTAACTATTCTGTAACTACATTGCAACTACACTGCAACTACACTGTAACTACTCTGTAACTACATTGTAACTACATTGCAACTACACCGCAACTACACTGTAACTACATTGTAACTACACTGTAACTACTCTGTAACTACATTGTAACTACACTGTAACTACACCGTAACTACACTCTAACTACTCTGTAACTACTTTGTAACTACACTGTAACTACTTTGTGACTACACTGTAACTACACTGTAACTACACTGTAACTACACTGTAACTACACTGTAACTACACTGTAACTACATTGTAACTACACTGTAACTACACCGTAACTACACTCTAACTACTCTGTAACTACTTTGTAATTACACTGTAACTACTTTGTGACTACACTGTAACTACACTGTAACTACACTGTAACTACTCTGTAACTACTCTGTAACTACACTGTAACTACATTGCAACTACACTGTAACTACTCTGTAACTACATTGTAACTACACTGTAACTACTCTGTAACTACATTGTAACTACACTGTAACTACATTGTAACTACACTGTAACTACACTGTAACTACTCTGTAACTACACTGTAACTACTCTGTAACTACATTGTAACTACACTGTAACTACATTGTAACTACACTGTAACTACATTGTAACTACACTGTAACTACACTGTAACTACACTGTAACTACTTTGTAACTACAGTGTAACTACTCTGTAACTACACTGTAACTACTCTGTAACTACATTGTTACTACACTGTAACTACTCTGTAACTACAGGGTGTGAGTCCAGGCAGCATAATACTCCCTAACACATACATATCCTGATCCCTGATGCTCTAAATCAGCATTCAGTTGAACTAGTCTCACAGGGTCTGAATATTCATAACATGCATAAAACTGCACAGGATATTTTTTCCCCCCTCATACAGTACCAAAGAGAAAACTTCACTGTGCATTTTGGATCAATTAAAGCTAAAACCTCTTCCTTGGAAGAGAAGAGCTCACTCAGCAATTTCCCATGCAGTTATAAATAGAGTGGAAGCGCAGAGTTAATCTGAGACACTTGAGGCAGCATGCATGCCCATGCTAGCAGATCCCCTCTCTCTCTCTCTCTCTCTCTCTCTCTCTCTCTCTCTCTCTCTCTCTCTCTCTCTCTCTCTCGCTCTCTCTCTCTCTCTCTCTCTCTCTCTCTCTCTCTCTCTCTCTCTCTCTCTCTCTTCCCCTCTTTTTGTCAGCCCTGAGAACAAGCTAAAGAAAAAGGGAAAGAGTCTCCACTCATCTCCACAAAGGGATAAACACACCTCTCTTTTTAAAACCGCACTCATCTGAACTAAATAAAATGTAATTCCATCATTTCATCTCTCTTGTTCTGTCTCTCTGATGATAAAGAGGGAAAGGGATTTGTCTGAGGGCTTCTAACCTCTAACATACAACGCTAGTGCCACACCATAGCCTGGCTAGTCTGCTTTGTTCATTCAGAACAGAGCTGATCCGTCTAAACAGACTGACATCTAGGCTAAGAGAGAACACAACGTAACTCTAACTCTGTCTTTGTTTCACTACTCTGTCACAACATAACTCTAACTCTGTCTTTGTTTCTCTACTCTGTCACAACATAACTCTTACTCTGTCTTTGTTTATCTACTCTGTCACAACATAACTCTAACTCTGTCTTTGTTTCTCTACTCTGTCACAACATAACTCTAACTCTGTCTTTGTTTCTCTACTCTGTCACAACATAACTATAACTCTGTCTTTGTTTCTCTACTCTGTCACAACATAACTCTAACTCTGTCTTTGTTTCTCTACTCTGTCACAACATAACTCTAACTCTGTCTTTGTTTCTCTACTCTGTCACAACATAACTCTAACTCTGTCTTTGTTTCTCTACTCTGTCACAACATAACTCTAACTCTGTACCTCTCCACACAACTCAGGATCAGGAAGCACTACCTGCAACCCCTAATTCACCGGCGACATGACTGGATACACGTCTACCTACCAAAGCCTGACAGAGTACAGTGCTCTGTGTAGGTTAGGGTATCAGCCAGCCAGCCAGCCAGCTAGCCAGCCAGCCAGCCAGCTAGCCAGCCAGCCAGCCAGCCAGCCAGCCAGCACCCAAACACCTCATGCAGATATTTTATTAGGCTGTCTGTCGCAGCGTGAAATGGAACAAGGTATAACTAAGTCTAGTTGTTAGGCTGTCTGTCGCAGCGTGAAACGGAACAAGGTATAACTAAGTCTAGTTGTTAGGCTGTCTGTCGCAGCGTGAAACGGAACAAGGTATAACTAAGTCTAGTTGTTAGGCTGTCTGTCGCAGCGTGAAAGGGAACAAGGTATAACTAAGTCTAGTTGTTAGGCTGTCTGTCGCAGCGTGAAACGGAACAAGGTATAACTAGGTCTAGTTGTTAGGCTGTCTGTCGCAGCGTGAAACGGAACAAGGTATAACTAAGTCTAGTTGTTAGGCTGTCTGTCGCAGCGTGAAACGGAACAAGGTATAACTAAGTCTAGTTGTTAGGCTGTCTGTCGCAGCGTGAAACGGAACAAGGTATAACTAAGTCTAGTTGTTAGGCTGTCTGTCGCAGCGTGAAACGGAACAAGGTATAACTAAGTCTAGTTGTTAGGCTGTCTGTCGCAGCGTGAAAGGGAACAAGGTATAACTAAGTCTAGTTGTTAGGCTGTCTGTCGCAGCGTGAAACGGAACAAGGTATAACTAGGTCTAGTTGTTAGGCTGTCTGTCGCAGCGTGAAACGGAACAAGGTATAACTAAGTCTAGTTGTTAGGCTGTCTGTCGCAGTACGAAACGGAACAAGGTATAACTAAGTCTAGTTGTTAGGCTGTCTGTCGCAGCGTGAAACGGAACAAGGTATAACTAGGTCTAGTTGTTAGGCTGTCTGTCGCAGCGTGAAACGGAACAAGGTATAACTAGGTCTAGTTGTTAGGCTGTCTGTCGCAGCGTGAAACGGAACAAGGTATAACTAAGTCTAGTTGTTAGGCTGTCTGTCGCAGTACGAAACGGAACAAGGTATAACTAAGTTTAGTTGTTAGGCTGTCTGTCGCAGCGTGAAATGGAACAAGGTATAACTAAGTCTAGTTGTTAGGCTGTCTGTCTGTGGGGCCTTGTTCACCTGGGAGAAGTAAACGCCTTTCACCTCCAGTACCTCACTGTATTGCTTGTTTTCTTGAACGGTTTAGCATTTATTTTTTGCTAACACATCATTTAACAGCATGCAGCCATTCTTGCAACAGTCTAGGAAGGAGCTGGATATATATTAGAGAGATAGGGAAAGAGAGGGAGAGAGGGCAAGAGAAAGAAGGAGAAAGAGATGGAGGTAAAGACACCTTGATGTGGAGAAGCGGATAGATCAGAGATAGGGGAAAGATGACTGTTTGTAGAGAGGAAGAGAAACAGAGGGGTGAAGAGAGAAGAAGAATGACTTTACAATCAACAGGGAAGCATTTTAATGTTGCACCCAGACTAATCCTTGAGACGATAATTTACAATGAACGTGATGACACTTGGCATTCAGTGGCAGCAGAAGGAGATTGGCGATTGGGTTAACAGGGTAAACAACACACAGCTGAAGCCATACAGTGACAGACACAGCAGGAGGACAGGACCACTCACTTACTTGCATGACAGTTGGTTTATACCGTGTATGAAATAGCAGTCTCCACCGTTCACGCAGTACGACTTCTCTGTGTCGTTACAGCGCCGGGCGTGACTCGAGCCTGGAGACAGAGTAGTGGTCACTATGGAGGAGAGAGAGTAAGAGTAGGGGTTAGCAAGGAAGAGGGGGAGCGTGGCGATAACTAAGAAAGAGAAGGAAAGTGTAGAAGTCATTATGGAAGAGGGGTAATAAATTGTTACTAAGGAAGAAAGGGAAAGAACGTGGTCGTGGTGGATGTCAAGAAAGAGAGAATGAAGATGGTGGTAACTAAGGAAGCGAGAAAGAGCGTTGTGGTTACTAAGGAAGAGAGAAAGAGCATCATGTTATTAAGGAAGAGAGAAAGAGCGTCGTGGTTACTAAGGAAGAGAGAAAGATCGTTGTGGTTACTAAGGAAGAGAGAAAGAGCGCCGTGGTTACTAAGGAAGAGAGAAAGAGCGCCGTGGTTACTAAGGAAGAGAGAAAGAGCGTCGTGGTTACTAAGGAAGTGAGAAAGAGCGTTGTGGTTACTAAGGAAGAGAGAAAGAGCGTCGTGGTTACTAAGGAAGAGAGAAAGAGCGTCGTTGTTACTAAGGAAGAGAGAAAGAGAATGGTGGTTGTCAAGGAAAACAGAGTCTGTGGTAGTTAATGAAGAAGGTGGAAAGAGTGTGAATGTTATAGAATAGAAGGAATGTCATACTGTAGATAGAGGATGGTGTGTCTGTTGACTCACGGCTCTGCACACTGATGCTGCTCGTAGCGTTCTCCTGGCCCAGCGTGTTCTCAACCACACACGTGTAGTTACCAGAATCCTCCAGCCTCGCTCGGTTGATCTGGACCTTGGAGTTTTTCCTTCAGAGAATGAGAGAGGGACAGAGAAGGAGATAGAGAGAAAGAGAAATGGAGTGAGAGTGATTCATTTGAGTCAATATGAATGGTTCTTCAAAACAGAAACAGCAGTGTCCATAGTGTCTATTGTGGAACGTTTTTAATTATGTGTGTGAATGTGTGACTGGAGGTTGGCCGGTCTCTGAGACCTACTTATTGGTCTTGATTTTGACGTCTTTTCCCCTCTGGAGCTCTCGGCCATCTTTATACCATCGGAAGGAGGGGCTGGGGTTCCCTGACGCCTCACACTTCAGATACAGCCTCTCCCCCTCCATTAAAGACTGGCCCCGCATCGGCCGCAACTTAGGGGCCACAGCTAGACAGAGAGTGAGACAAAGAGAGAGAGACAGAGACAGAAAGAGAGAGACACAGAGCGAGAGAGACAGAGAGCGAGAGAGAGAGAATAAGAGAGAGAGAAAAAGAGAGAGTGAAAGGTATGTGAGAGAGAGAGAGAGAGAGAGAGAGAGAGAGAGAGAGAGAGAGAGAGAGAGAGAGAGAGAGAGAGAGAGAGAGAGAGACGTTGGGGGGGGGCAGGGGTTAGGGAGAGAGCATTTAGTATTTATTAGGATCCCCATTAGTTACTCTTCCTGGTGTCCAAACAAGATTAAAACAATTACATCACAACAAAACACAACAGCCTACATCATAAATAACACAATGCATCATACAATACATTATTACATTATTACTCTAATATTACACATCTACAATATAAAGTCCACAGTACCATAATATCATAACATTCTAATTATAGAGCATGTGTGCATATGCATGTATTTGTGTGTGTGTACGCCTCTTCACAGTCCCCATTGTGCCGTGAGGTGTTGTTTTATCTGTTTAAAAATCTGATTTTACTGCTCGCTTGAGTTACTTGATGTGGAAAATAGTTCAGTTCTAGTCATTGCACTGTCACAGAAACTTTGAAGGTTTTTAATGATATTCACTGTGCCCTGGATAGAAAGCTGCATTGTGTATCTGTATTCATAGACTTGTCAAAGGCGTTTGACACTGAGGACCATACTTTCTTGGTGCAGAGACTGAAGTGTGTTAGGATTACTGGTTATGCTCTGGAGTGGTTTGTAAACTAGCTGTCAGATCGAACCCAGTGTGTTAAGGCAGATGGTTGTAAGTTGGTTGTGCTCGGGTGTGCCTCAAGAATCCATTTTAGGTCCCCTGTAGTTTAATATCCATGTCAACAACATTGGGAGACATATTGAAACAGCTTATGTAATTGTTTATGCGGATGACACTGTTCTCTATTCAAGTGGCAGCAGTTTGACACTGTTCTCTATTCAAGTGGCAGCAGTTTGACACTGTTCTCTATTCAAGTGGCAGCAGTTTGACACTGTTCTCTATTCAAGTGGCAGCAGTTTGACACTGTTCTCTATTCAAGTGGCAGCAGTTTGACACTGTTCTCTATTCATGTGGCAGCAATTTGACACTGTTCTCTATTCTAGTGGCAGCAGTTTGACACTGTTCTCTATTCTAGTGGCAGCAATTTGACACTGTTCTCTATTCAAGTGGCAGCAGTTTGACACTGTTCTCTATTCAAGTGGCAGCAGTTTGACACTGTTCTCTATTCTAGTGGCAGCAGTTTGACACTGTTCTCTATTCTAGTGGCAGCAGTTTGACACTGTTCTCTAGTGGCAGCAGTTTGACACTGTTCTCTATTCAAGTGGCAGCAGTTTGACACTGTTCTCTATTCAAGTGGCAGCAGTTTGACACTGTTCTCTATTCAAGTGGCAGCAGTTTGACACTGTTCTATATTCTAGTGGCAGCAGTTTGACACTGTTCTCTATTCAAGTGGCAGCAGTTTGACACTGTTCTCTATTCTAGTGGCAGCAGTTTGACACTGTTCTCTATTCTAGTGGCAGCAGTTTGACACTGTTCTCTATTCAAGTGGCAGCAGTTTGACTTTGGCTTTTGAAAAAGCTCAAACAGCTTTCAACATCATTCAACAGAATCTGTACGATTTGAAGCTTGTTCTGAATTCCTCTAAAATACAATGCATGGGATATTCCAATACTAAACACTCTGAAAACCATGTAATTACTACCTTGGAAGGACATTCTATAGAGCAAGTCAAAACTTACAATCATCTGGAAGTTTGGGTGGATGAGAAGTTGAGCTTCACCACCCATCTAGAGAAACTCAAGCTGCATATTGGGTTTAATACCGGCACAAAGTTTTTGCAGCCAGAAAAGAGTTGATTCGATTGACTGATTCGTGTTGGACTATGGTGATACTATTTCTGTGCGAGCCTCGAGCTCTACACTGAAGGCTCTTGACTCTGTGTATCATGCAGCCCTTCATTTTGTCACCAATCAGAGACATCTAACTCACCATTGTGATCTCTACAGTGCTTTCAGGTGGACATCACAGGCGGCACATTCTTATTTATAAGGCCATTTTAGGAAAACTGCCATTTTATCTATCCTCTCTTCTAGCTCGAAATGAAAACACATACAAGCTCAGGTTTCAATCTTGTTTCATGCTCGAAAATTAGAACCGAGCATGGACAAAAGATTCTTTCATTACTCAGCCCCCAGGTCTTTTAATTCCCTCCAAGCCAACCTAAAACTCCAGGACCTGGTGTCCCTCGAGGAGTTCAAAGGACAAATAGAGATGTAGTTGTTTCTAGTTTTAACCTGGTGTCACTAGTTTGAATTGCCTTATGTAAGGAAGCAAGTCGTTTTACTTCACACACAAATCAAATAACATTTTATTTGTCACATGCGCCGAATCCAACAGGTGTAGAACTTACCGTGAAATGCTTACTTACAAGCCCTTTAACAACAAAGCAGTTTTAAGAAAAATAAGAGTTGAGAAAATATTTCCTAAATAAACTAAAGTAAAAAAATAAAAGAGTAACAATAAAATAACAATAACGAGGCTATATACAGGGGGGGTACCGGTACCGAGTCAATGTGCGGCAGTACAGGTTAGTCAAGGTAATTGAGGTAATAAGAACATGTAGATAGGGGTAAAGTGACTATGCATAGATAACAAACAGCGAGTAGCAGCAGCGTAAAAAGGGGGGGGGGGGGGGGGGTCAATGCAAATAGTCCGGGTAGACATTTGATTGGCTGTTCAGGAGTCTTATGGCTTGGGGGTAGAAGCTTTTAAGAAGCCTTTTGGACCTAGATGTGGCACTCCGGTACCGCTTGCTGTTCGGTAGCAGAGAGAACAGTCTATGACTAAGGTGACTGGAGTCTTTGGCAATTTTTAGGGCCTTCCTCTGACACCGCCTGGTATAGAGGTCCTGGATGGCAGGAAGCTTGGCCCCAGTGATGTACTGGGCCGTACACACTACCCTCTGTAGCGCCTTGCAGTCGAAGGTCGAGCAGTTGCCATACCAGGCGTTGATGCAACCAGTCAGGATGCTCTCGATAGTGCAGCTGTAGAACTTTTTGAGGATCTGAGGACCCATGCCAAATCTTTTCAGTCTCCTGAGGGGGAATAGGCTTTGTCGTGCCCTCTTCACGACTGTCTTGGTGTGTTTGGACCATGATAGTTTGTTGGTGATGTGGACACCAAGGACTTGAAGCTCTCAACATGCTCCACTACAGCCCTGTCGATGAGAATGGGGGCGTGCTTGGCCCTCCTTTTCCTGTAGTCCACGATCATCTCCTTTGTCTTGATCACGTTGAGGGAGAGGTTGTTGTCCTGGCACCACACTGCCAGGTCTCTGACCTCCTCCCTATAGGCTGTCTCATCGTTGTCGGTGATCAGGCCTACCACCGTTGTGTTGTCGGCAAACTTAATGATGGTGTTGCAGTCGTACTTGGCCACGCAGTCATGGGTGAACAGGGAGTACAGGAGTGGACTAAGCACGCACTCCTGAGGTGCCCCCGTGTTGAGGATCAGCTTGGCAGATGTATTGTTACCTACCCTTAGCACCTGGGGGCGGCCCGTCAGGAAGTCCAGGATCCAGTTGCAGAGGGAAGTGTTCAGTCCCAGGGCCCTGAGCTTAGTGATGAGCTTTGAGGTCACTATGGCGTTGAACGGTGAGCTGTAGTCAATTAACAGCATTCTCACGTAGGTGTTCCTTTTGTCCAGGTGGGAAAGTGCAGTGTGGAGTGCAATAGAGATTGCATCATCTGTCGATCTGTTGAGGTGGTATGCGAATTGGAGTGGGTCTAGGGTTTCTGGGATGATGGTGTTGATGTGAGTGAGCCTTTCAAAGCACTTCATGGCTACAGACGTGAGTGCTACGGGTCGGTAGTCATTTAGGCAGGTTACCTTGGTGTTCTTGGGCACAGGGACTATGGTGGTCTGTTTGAAACATGTAGGTATTACACACTCGGTCAGGGACAGGTTGAAAATGTCTGTGAAGGGACTTGCCAGTTGATCAGCGCATGCTCTGAGTACACGTCCTGGTAATCCGTCTGGCCCTGTGGCCTTGTTAATGTTGACCTGTTTAAAGGTCTTACTCACATCGGCTACGGAGAATGTGATCACACAGTCGTCTGGAACAGCTGGTGCTCTCATGCATGCTTCAGTGTTGCTTGCCTCGAAGCGTGCATATAAATAATTTCGCTCGTCTGGTAGGCTCGTGTCACTGGGCAACTCGCGGCTGGGCTTCCCTTTGTAGTCCGTAATAGTTTTCAGGCCCTGCCACATCCGACAAGCTTCGGTGCTGGTGTAGTAGGGTCCAATCTTAGTCCTGTATTGATGCTTTGCCTGTTTGATGGTTCGTCAGAGGGAATAGCAGGATTTCTTAAAAGTGTCCGGATTTAAGTCCTTGAAAGCGGCAGCTCTACCTTTCAGCTCAGTGCGGATGTTGCCTGTAATCCATGGCTTCTGGTTGGGGTATGTTCGTATGGTCACTGTGGGGACGACGTCATCGATGCACTTATTGATGAAGCCGGTGACTTATGTGCTATACTCCTCAATGCCATCGGATGAATCCCGTCCAGTCTGTGCTAGCAAAACAGTCTTGTAGCTTAGCATCTGCGTCTTCTGACCACTTCCATATTGAGCGAGTCACTGGTACTTCCTGCTTTAGTTTTTACTTCTAAGCAGGAATCAGGAGGATAGAATTATGGTCAGATTTGCCAAATGGAGGGCGAGGGAGAGCTTTGTACGCGTCTCTGTGTGTGGAGTAAAGGTGGTCTAGAGTTTTTTTCCTCTGGTTGCACATGTGACATGCTGGTAGAAATGAGGTAAAACAGATTTAAGTTTCCCTGCATTAAAGTCCCCGGCCACTAGGAGCGCCGCCTCTGGATTAACATTTTCTTGTTTACTTATGGCCTTATACAGCTCATTGAGTGAGGTCTTAGTGGCAGCATCGGTTTGTGTTGGTAAATAGACA